TGTTCGCAATTGTTTTTAATGGAGAGTAAGAAAAGAATTATGAAAATAATTAGTACGAAGAAATAAATTTAACATTTTATTTACTATTTCTAATATGTGTTTCTTTATCTCTAAACGATTCCATATTGCTAAACTTTTTGAAAAGCTATATATACACCTATACAGTAAAAGATGAACAAGATTTGATATCTCTCTTTAATTAATTAATTTTTATTGATTAAACTATTATTTTCATTAGAATCTAATCAAAATAATAGTCATCTGTTGAAAAAGTGTTCGATCTTAATGAGAATCTTTGTAATATATAATTGTCAATAAAACTATTTTTCAAATTATATTCAAAAATATCAGATAATTACAGAAAAGTATTTCGTTGAATTTAGATAAACCATATATCGTCAACATAATATCCTTATGGATGTGTAAAAGTACACTGCCTCGACAAAAAAAAACGACATTTACTGATTCTAATTATAAATAAAGTCTATATTTCTCATCATTACAATATTAACGTATTATATCTTTATTTTATTATATGATCGAACTGTACGAACTATAGCAACTTTCTTGTTTGATATTACAGATAGATAAATGAAAAAATATAAGTAATGAAATTGACTGGATCAAGAAAAAACACGTGATATTTTTTCATTCTCATAGTACGCACTACGATAGAATATAAAAATAATAAATACATATTATGTGTGAAAATGAATAACAAACTAAATATATGCACTATTAGGCATTTCTTTTTCTTTGTTAGTAGAGCATATTATGATAATACTACTAGAACGATCGACTGAAAATCAATTAGTTTGAAAATGAAAAGCAAATATCACAATTGCAAACTTATTTATAATCGAGTTGACTTGAAATAGAATAAACAACATGACAAGGTTTATTCATAAACTGAAAATAAAATTTGCAGAATTTTTCTTGCCTTATTAAAATCTATTCAGAAAACAAACCGATTCCACTATTTTTTTAATCAGAAAAAAGTAAGATTTTTTTTGCGTACTTGCTAAATTCGCCTCGATGAAGTTATGGAGGATTTCTATAAAATCAAGTTTCATCAATCTATTGATGTAATAAGATTATTTTTCTACATGGATATTTTCACTTATTAGAAGCGATAGAGAGAAGTATCAAGTTTGTTTCCTGAAAGTTTCAAACAATTTGGTGAATGTTGTGTATTTCCTGTCCCAAGTACCATGGAAGTAGCCAAAAATATAAAGAATGCTTTTCATACTTCCTATAAATCAGATATTTAATCCAGATAAAAACTTATGCTCAAAATATTAAAATAGAGTTCTATTCTATTTTTATACCATCCGGTGAACGTATCTTTTTCTTTTTTTTCTAATTTTAAAATGTATAGCAATTATGAATAGATTTTGTTTTTTTTTCGCAAAAAACTTAAAGAAAAATAAATTCAATTTGAATGAATATAATATATACGTAGTTTTTTTTGTGTACTCAAAAAGTGAATACATTATAAAATTTAAATCTAGTGTTCCCACATTTATTCTAAATAGGATGAAAAAATATACTTACTATGAGATTTTATGAAATAATGAACAAATAATACTACTTTTGCTTTCTTCTAATAAATAATCGAAGTTGATCAACTACTTTTTATCGGAATAAAACATGTAATATATGAAAACAGAATGTTAAAAAAGAGCAAATGATAGTATTGATCGAAGAAGAAATTTATGTTTCATAATATAAGAAATTACTTATTATGCTCATTGTCGAAGTCTTGACAGTTGACTGAAATAGAAAAATCGTAAACTGTAATAAATTTCATGATTTGTCCACATACGCGTTTTCATTCATTATAAACAATATGCGAATGACGATTAATTTTAACAGTTCATACAAATATTTTTCATTTTTTTTCTACAAATGACATATAAAAATGTAAAATTATATGTAGTTAAATATTTGTGTTACTAACAAAGTTATATACAAAAACTTTGGCAATGAGTCCTCCTTGTATTGATTGTATAAAAGAAAACTAGATATTTATTTATTTTTCATACTATTTATAAAATATGGGACACCCTTTAAATATTATCTTCATGAAGATTGAACTGTAATCATCTTGAAATAGTTGTTTATTTCTAGACTTCGTAAATAGAAGAACGAAAATATTATAATTACTTTTTCATTCTCATCATTAATGTAACTACATTACACTCTGTTTAGAACAGCAAAAGAGAGAATACCAAAGGAAGAACTTATTCTTCAATGTCAATTAGCAGAACGTGTACCATGTAATATTATTTTGCGACTGTAGCTATATTTGGGTCTATCAGAACATTAGCAAGCAAGAAAAATACCAGTGACATCTTCTGTACAGATAAAATATTTGAGAACCAGTTTTTATCAGTTGTTGGTAATGAAAATAATCAACAAGAAAATGCACTTAAAAAGATTTTTTGGAACCATTCATATAGAAAATAATAATTCTCTATATTTTTCATCGAAATATTTTATATCATTATGTATGGAACCATATGGGTAATTATTCATCATAGAGTAAGCGTAAAACTATACGCGGTTAGTTGGATATATTAGAAAAGATACTGATTATACGCTCGCTGCTGTTGTTTTTTTCGTTCGGTATTATAAACTTAATTTTATTATTGTTTTAGATTTATCTTTTCTTCTCCATCGTCACAAAAACCTCTAGATACATCATATATATTATGACAAGATAATATGAGAGTGAGTATACGATGTTGATATAACAATTCACATATGAATACCTGTATACTAGAAATTTATAATAATAATAATCAAACGAAAATTGTTGTATTCCTAGTTTCCATCAGTTATTTTATTAAAAAATAGAAAAAAGACTTAAGATTTTGAAAGATGCTTGCTTTTCTTTGAAGAGGATGTCTTTGATAAATGAGAGGGTAATATAGTATTAAAAATATTTTTTGATACGACTATATAAGAACCAAATGAGGTTATGCAGTAAACCTGACATGTTTATCATAAATCTTTATTCGATTTTCTTTTCATGTTTAGTAATTATCGCATCACTATATAAAAACTACTTAGGTCTATTATTTATCTTTTGATATAAAAGAATAGATTCAATTCATATTCCGATTCTTTTTATCTTTTGTGTATTTTCCTAACCTTCAAAACTTTATTTTTCTAAACTATATCACATACATCGGTAAGAATAAAATTTTTCTAAAGATAATTATATGTTATACTGACATTTATGCGGATGCTTTTTCATGGTACCGATAAAATAGTAATAGTTCGACAATATCTTTCTCTTCTTTTTCAAAAAAGTCGTGGGATTTCACATCAATAGTATTATGGGTTATTTAGTAAAAGAATAAATCCATTGATGTTTTTAGAAAGATCATATATTGAGAAGTTTTTTATAGAACCATATTGCAGTCAACGTGATGCTTTCAGAACATTCTTGAAAACCATTTTTCTATTCTTTCGTCAGTTACCGTAATCATATAAATTTAGATAATAAGTAGTGAAAATAAATACTTTGTTAGCCAAAGGCATAAACTTGATATATAAATAAACGATACAAAGAATCTTTTCTGAATATATGTCATTTTTTCCCATTTATAATTAGCTTTGAAAACTACATAGAATTTTTTTCTTTATTTAGCAATTTCTTTCTTTTTGTAAGTCAAAGTACAAAGATAATAGAAAAACTAACATCTTATAAAACTAATATTATTTGCACTGAGAAAAAAGATATAAACTTATAATTGATGTATTTAATAAGTAGTTGAGTTTATTCTGAAAATATAAGATCGATACAAAATTGTTTGATTTACTCAAATTCGCATGTTATTTTTTTTTATCCTGTAAAGCTTCTTTTATAGATCAAGTATCATTAAAAAATACTTCTGTATCAGTGTTATTCAAGTAATTGTCATTGTCTATATGAATTTATCGAGATAGTTTTGAATCGATTATTCTAACAGAAAAAAAATATTATGTTTTGTTTCTTTGCATGTCATCACTAATTATCATTGAATAGTTATAAAAAGAAATAATTTAATTTATTCGCTTTTCTGCTTTTGTTAAAACTCCACAGTAGCATATCTTTTCTGACAAGATTATTTTGTCAAGCGGAAATGATTTACTTGACAAATATAGAATTTTAAGTACAGTAAAATTTATTTGCAATACTTCGTTTATATGTAAGATTAGTTACTGTTCTATAGAATTTTCTAATTCTATCTCATTAATGTTTTTTTATTTATTAGTATAACCTCAATAATTAAATTTCGATAAGGACCACTTTATAATATAAGCGGAAACAGATCCAATTTCAAAATATTTGACATTTTATTCAGGTAATATATAGGTACGTTGATGTAATCAGTTTTTTAATATATCTTGAAAAAGATTAATTCAGAGATCATCTCTTTATATATCTTTTCTCAGATTAGCATTCATATCATTTAGTAGTAGTAGTAAAACATTTTATTATTAAATATACTAGAATTTTTTTTAATTATAGTAGGCGATATTAGTGATGTGGTACATATGTCAGGTCAGGAAATATCATATATGGCTTTAACAAAAAGCAAAAAAATTCCATTTTGA